AGAACCGAATAATGTAGTTCAAATAATGGTTCTAGTCAAAAGCCAATTCCTATTTGTCAAGTGTCGGTGGTGCTGTATTTTTCTTATTACAGCGCTGAGCAGCCAGGTATATATAAGAATTAGCGAAAGTAATTTATGAAGTAAAATAGTTATATTTTGTTGACAAAATGAGAAGAGGAGAAGGTAAGCACGTAACTAAAATTCTGGAGTGAACTGACCCAGTAAAACCTTTTGGGCTACATTTCCTATTCTGTAGGTTACACGATGACAAACGTAAACAAATAGAAAAAGTGTAGTTCCTTAATACAACAATGAATTTATGAAGTGTTGAAGGAAATACTTGAATATCCTATAACATGATATTATTTTCTATATATAGTAATAGAAACATGACCATCCACGTCAACATGTGTATCCTCTCTTTCACAATCTATTCCATAGTCACTACATGCAACTAGATATATATACTTCATTTAATCTTTTCACTATCAAATCCACTATAAAAAAATAATTAAATACCAACTAATATACAAATAAAAAGTAATTAATCATTATATTTAACTAAATTATACATATTTTATAAATAAAAATTATTGATATTTGAAATAGTCTTTATTATTAATAAAAAATTATAATTAATTCATGAATTAAAATCGAAATTTATTTCTAATATTAACTATCAAAATTTTAATTATTTATTATTATTGAATCTAAATTAGTCTAAATAATAGTAAGTAGAAAAGCAAGTACTTCCATTTCTGTATCCAATCATTTACACGGAAGTAAGAGGTGTTTCAGCTCATCCTAAAAATTATGAAGAAATGAGACGAAAGTCACTTGAAAAAAAAAATACATGTTCATCTTTTTTAAACACAATGTATTTGAATAAATATAATCAATTATATATACACATAAACAATTGTTGATCATATATATATATAATTTATTATTAATTATACAAATAAAAAATAATTAATAATAATAATAATAATACGTAAATTAAGTATTGATAAAAGTATTAAAAATAATTTTAATAAAAATAATAAAAATTTAATAATAATTTAATAATTAAATAAAATTAATTTATAATAATAATAATTATGGTACTTTAGTCCGTTTGTAAATATATCATTTTGTAATTATCACTCAAATGTTTCCTTCATTTTGTTTACTTTTCATTCTCTTTTTCTTAATTTAAACAATATCACTTTTCACTCTTTTTCATTTTCATATTTTTTCACTCTCTCAAATCTACTTCTTGAAACAAACAGAGCCGCTGGTTCGAATTTGACATATACTCTAAACAAAATTTAATGGCTTGTTCTACAATATACCATTCGACAATTAGAGTTTCTGAACAGTATTCATTATTCACATGTAAAGATATCCATGTAATTCTCAACCGAACCAAACAGCATATATCCATGTAGATAATTCAAGTCATGCAATTAAATCTTCCTCAAATGAGCTATTGATTGATGAAATAAAATTAATAATATTAAATTATAATAATTTAAATATTATTAAAATAATAGTCAACAAAATATAAAAAATAAAATCAATTCTAAATTATCTTCCAACGAACATAGAACTATTTCTAACAAATTAGTTTTTATAAACACTTATAGTAAAAGAAATAATCAAATACAATAAAAATAAGAAAAGAAGATAAAGATAAAATAAAAAAGATTAAATAATAAATTAATAAAATAAATAAATAAATAAATAAATAAAATTACAAAAAGATAAAATAGATAAAAATATTAATAAAAAATAGATTAATTTAAGTGTTTTTTACAATAAAACTCATTGGTTATTTAAAGATTATTATTAAATTAATTATTGTCTTAAGTTTTCTAATTAATCAATATAAATTTTCAATTAACTTGTTAGTGTTCTTATTATCAACCAAAATACATTTTCAATGAAAAGTAAAAACTTTGTATATTAATCTATTTACATTCTCAAATAAATACTATTATATCTAATAATGTATATTCTTTTATCACTTTTATCAAGTAAAAAACTAACAATTAAAGTACATTTTTTATTAATTCTTATTAAAATTATCACCTTTAATCAAATACATTCTCACAAAAATTTATTCAGTCACATAAAAGTTTATAACTTTAATCAAAATACATTATCAATTAAAATTAAAAATCCTTTGACTCTTATGACTGATATGTTATATAAGATTTAACATTGTGCTAACTTGCTACAATATAAAAATCATTATTTTTAGGGTGTCATGAAACTTTAATCAATTTATTTTTACACATTCATGATTTCAACTTAGTTGCAATTGCACTAAAACACTTTAAAATATCTAAAGAACATTTATGCAACTAAAAAAACTATTTTTAACATATTTTCGTATTCCATTATCAATAAACCCAATTATAACAAATCCTAATTAAAACAATCTCTTACAACACAAAAACCAATTAAAAATCCTATATGAAAGACTAAATGATGACATAAATTTATATTAATATGATATAAAAAAATGAAGATAGAAAATACATTTTTAATTGACTCAAGATTATATTGGCTTCATTTTTCAACTAGTTTAACTTTTAAAAGTCAATTACTTTCATTAAGAAAAATTGATATTATTGACAACCAAAATCCATTCACAATGCTTAAAATCTATTGGTAAATCAAAATTACCAATGACTAATGATGATAGAAAATTCATCAATAAAATTATCATTTATAAATTTTATTATAGAATTTATGTTCTATTGATAAAATTCATTAATAAATGTGATTTGGTTGATCTTCTTCTTTATCGCTCCTTCTTTTACTTTCTTTATTTTCTAATTTTATCTTCATTTTCCCATCAACCCAACTCACGATTTCAATCAGTTGCGCAAAGCTTCACATTTACGAATTCCTTGGAATACACAAAGCCACCTAACACCTCACTTAATTATTTTTGCCGCTTTTGCAACTGGTCATGCTCGAACGCTCCTGGTGTTAAACTCTCAAAATTCGAATAGAACCACCGCTTTTCCAATATCACATATCATTTTCTGTAAATGATCGACCATCCCTTCGTCAACATTTTTTGGTTTTAACGTTTTTGGAAAGTCTATTATTTCTTCATGTCTGACAATACAAAAAATAAATAGGTGATAATGTATTTTTGCAAGTTCTTGACGCATCTTTTTCAAACAATGAACACATAAATAATATGTCCCCTTAATATGTTTCTCATTTTTTCAATTAAATTACAAGTACTCATCAATGCTCTTTTCATACTTTCAGTAACGTGACTTTATTCATCCAAATTCAATCCATAACTACGTATATTACAAATTTCATAATGCAATGTGATTTTCACTTTTCTAATTCAAGCTTGGTCTCCAAAGTACAAGAAAGAAAAATGGTCACCAATAGTGCACCATACTAAAAATATTCAAATGGAGAACAACGTTGGATGGTTTGAATCAAAATTACACCAAATTTAAGATTAGACTTATTGTGTATGTATTAACAAATTATATAAAATATTTCTGCAACAAATACCACGGCTATTACATCAATGACAGCAATAACAATAATCATGAACAAGATGAAAGGTACAGTGATGACGCAAAACCAAAAAGAAAAAGGAAGGTAAAAGAATTGTATTTTTTTTTGTTAGAAGATAATTAAATATAAAAGTAGACATTTATATCAAATAAGTAGATGTGCAACGTAAATGTCAACTTTTACATGGATTCTCGTGTAATCAACAAAAAGAACATTATTAACTAAAAGCCACCTCACATTTTTCTTTTGAATGGCCATTTCATCTAGAGTAAATAATAAACATAGATATCCTTTTGCCCTAGTAATATATAGGTTTAATAGCCAATTTAGTCCCCACTTTGGTTGAAAAATCTCAATTTAGTCCCTCGTTATAAAAGTGTTTTAAATTAGTCCTAACTTTTAAAATAGTGGGTCAGATTGGTCCCTTTCGTTAAATATAAGTTAACGAAATTAATGGATGATGATGTGACACAGCTTAAAGCTGATGTGTTAGATTGGTCCCTCGTTAGCTTTAAGTTGTGTCACATCATCATCCATTAATTTTGTTAACTTATATTTAACAGAAAGGACCAATCTGACCCACTATTTTAAAAGTTAGGACTAATTCAAAACACTTTTATAACGAGGGACTAAATTGAGATTTTTCAACCAAAGTGAGGACTAAATTGGCTATTAAACCTAATATATATCTAGACAGAAGGAATTGATAGCTATTTAATGTAAGAGTCAATGATGTATAATATATTGTAATAATTAATATAAGCACTTAATACCAAATATGTCAATAATTGAACAGTGTTACCCTTTTCCTTATCATTATACCTATCTAGTTAGAGCAAGGGAAAAACGTTGTGCGACAAGTTAGGCTGTCAAGGAATTTAGACATTAGTAAATAAATAATATTGTCTTGTAGAGGCGACATATCGCTAAAAGGACGAAATAAAGTAAGCATAGGAAAAACGAAACCCTTGCTCATGTACCACAAAAGTGAATCTCAACGCTGGTATCAGGGAGGACTGCAAACATTGAAGCCTACATTCGTGAAAAAACAAGGAAAAACAACAGTAAAACAAGGAAACTATAACATTACATAGTGTTCTTAAAACTCTTCCCAAAGTAAATGTTTTTTTTTTTTTTATTTAGAACCCACTCTTCATCTTTCCTTTTGCTGTTGTACACTAACTCATCGTTTGTTAATATTAATTATTTTTCTGTCGTTCAAAATATTGTTAACACCTAGACTGCACTTAAAATGATTGGGAATATTGAATTATTTATAACTTCCTCCGACAATGGTAGAAGACAACAATAGAAAGAAAAAAGGAAGTTTAGAAAAATACCCCTCCCAGTTTAAGTTGAACTTCAACTAAAGTGTGGACCCCTACACCCTACTCATTGATAGATATATAAATCTAAGTATCCATAGATCCCAAAGGCCATAATATATCACTCACCACTCACATGTTTCAATTCATGATCGATTTTCAGCTGTTCAATCTCAAGAACTAATTCTCCTCCTGCATAATTTCAACAAGAAAGACCTCAATTTTCCACCTTATACTTCCCAACTTCTGGTTCTACCCTGCAGTTTTCATCAAATGAAGCCTTCTTCTGTAATTTTCCTTCTGCTTTTTTCTCTCTTTCTCACCCAGGCTCGAGGTAATTTCAAGTACTATGGTTTCATAAGAACTTCATTTTAGACCTTCTTTTATGTGTGATAATTTCTCGTGTTTGCTTTTGTTGTTCAGGAATTCGCTTGGAGAAAGGGTCTTTTGCAGCTCACCAACATAAACAACACGTTAGTTACAATTGCTTTGATATGTTTTACGTACTTGTCTTTCCATATAAATCTCTCAACCTTCAGTTATAACTTCCACAAACATTTTTCCAATGTTAATAAAAAGCAGAAACAAATCTTCTGATTGCAGGATGAAGAAAGCAATCTGTTGAAAGGAATTAACAGTGCTGCCAAGAAGGATGCTACTCTCTGCGAAGATGAACAGTATTGCGCAGGTACCCTAAAGAAGAGAGCCTCTAGAGTATCCAGAAAACCAAACAACTTACCTCGTATTCATGAAGATTATAGTGGACCAAGACATCATCGACCTAGGCACCATTAATATTTTACCCCAGAAATTCATTTTTCTTTGTTACTATTGTTATAACACAAGCATTCTTTCCGAATCTTGCCAACACACCTTGTATTTCTTGCTTCTGATTCCGAATCTTACCTATTCTTTGTTATATTTTAGAAAGAAAAATGAAAGGAATTATTGTCGTTATACATTCTTGTTCTGAACTAAACCTTTACAATGTATATTGTATGAAGCAACATGCAAGGAAATTTAGTCCTAACATGACATGCTCCACCATATAATTAAGATCCTGGCTGTTCTTACGTTGGTGCAGGAAAAAGAAAGGGTAGGAAACTTGTTACTTCATCAATTTCCACAAACCAAGATATTTCAAAGGTTGGTTTATATATACATACACACACATGTAGTTAAAGTGTGAACTCAAAAAGAAACCTTAGAATTTTATGTTTTCCTATTTATGATTTATATACATTTACTCCATGGACAGAATGTGAAGAATGAAGGGAATGAAACTGAGGCCACAGAAAACGACAGCAGTAGAAATTATAAAGTGAAATGGGAAGGAAAGGAAATATTTGTAAATAAGCAAGAAGAGATTTCTGATGAGAACTATATGGAGTTTGTGGACATTGTTGGCATGGACTATTCTCCAGCAAAGAAGAACCCTCCCATACACAACTAACTCTTGGGATGATCAACAAGAAAAATGCTGCAGTATTTTAGGTCTAAGAATGATTTGTAAATTTTGTTATTGTCTGTGTTTTATGTCCTTTGATACTATTTTATGAGGGTCGGAGCATGAAAAGAATGCTTGTTGTTCCTTGTTTGAGATCTAATATTGCATAAATTACACTCTTTTTTCACACGGATATTTAATTTACATTTTTATTTTATTTTTTAAGTATAAGATTCTCTTCTCTTTATTATGGACATATTCAATTAATTATTTTAATCTAAGCAAACCCTTTTAAAAAAATTCCCTTGTTGTGCTTCATATTAACTAGAAAATTTAAATATTTATTATGAATTTTAAGACTCAGAAAATAAAATAAAGTATTTTAATAAATTTTAAAGCTAATAATAAATTACATTATTTCAATTTTTATTTTTTTCATCTAGAATATTCAACATTTATTATAGTAATGCCCTACTTTAGAAAAACAATAGTTCTTGACAACAATTTCTGAAAACGATCAATCCATCAAAACTTTTGATGGATACGATGATGAATTTGTAAAATTTGTTATGAGATGATTAGTAAAGAATCGTGACTAATTTGGTAATGATTAGTAATTGTGAAAAATGTCTTTATGAAAGAAATTGAAGCAAATTAATGGTAAGAACCCGTGACCGTTTCAATTAATTAGAAAAAAAATATATTAACGCGTCAGTTTTGAGAAATCGGAGCATAAAAAAGTGTGGTGACGTTTTTGAAATTTTTTCAAAAATATATGTCTAAGTTCAGAAAAAATCGAAGCAATATGGGATATATGGTCTCGGTTACTCTAAAAACTGTTGTCATAGGATTTGCGAAACTGACAATCAAAAACTTTTTAGCTAATCAAATCTCTGTGCAGGAGTTTTGGCTTCGGTTATCTATAAAACCGAGGTCGTAAACCCTAACATTCCCCTTTGCATACTAGCGTTTCAACTGTCGACATGTCTGGATAGAACTATAGGCCTCGGTTATTTGTAGAACTAAGACCATAGACATTTATTCTTATTTGTAGCTTGATGTTTCACCTGCCAACCTGATTAGATAGCACTTTTGACTTCAGTTGCCTACTAAATCGATGTCATATAAGTCTTATGCTTCGGTTGTAGTGCGAACTGAAACCTAAAGGTTGAGTTAAATTTCAAAATTACCGCTAAGATGTTATTTTTTTATTTTCTCTGGTGACTTTAGACAACGGTTCTTAGAAGAATCAAGGTCATAACCCCTCTATTGCTTCAGTTTTATTAAGAACCGAGGTAGTATCGTTTTCCAAGGTTAAAAAAAAGAGAAAAGACAGAGCATGAACAATTACTTCTTCATTATCCTCTGCTATTTGAAACAGTGTCACACTTTCCACCATCACTGAACCTTGTTTCTTTGTTTAAGGTCGTTCAACGCCGTGTTTGGTTGCTCTGTTGTTGTCGTGAAGGTTCTTCAACCATACTCACAGTTCAAAATTGTCCCGAACCTCTTTCTTCGTTCGTCACTTCGATTTTCTAACGTTAGAGGTGATTTTTGGTTGCTTTTTTTTATGTTTTAGAGTTTGTTTTGGTTCCTAAAACTAATGTTTTGTTTCCTAAAACTAATGTTTTTTTTGTATTTTTGTTCAGGTTTTGTTTTTGCATAATAGAATTCTTTACCGTTCCAAACACAAGTTGTCCATAATTGTTATCCGTTTTTTCATACTTCCAGGTTCTTATTTTGATATTTAAAATTTACTTTTTAATGAAAGCATATAATTTTGTAGTAGGTTGTAATTTTTTATGTTGAATATGTAATTACTTAAATCCTTAATTATATTATTGTATTAAATTGCGTTAGTTTGCCATTTAAAATTCAATACAAAAATTATTTATTGTCTTCAAGTTTTTTTTAATAAATGTATCTTTTACAAATAAATAGAAAAAAAAATAATAATAATAATATATCACTATAAAATTATGAAATATAATTTTATAATTTTAAATAACTCTAAGAACATGTCCATGAATTTTTAGACGGTCTCAACTTGTCATCCAAGTAATAAAAAAATCAAGTGGTAAAAATTGATGGTTCTTTTATTTCTTTTTGACACTTTTAACTCAAAAACCTCACGTAATTGAATTTACGTCATTGAATTTATGAATCTATTTTTATATGATATTTAATTTTTTTATTTCTACTTAATATAAAGCTTAGAGTAACACTTAAATTATTTTTAACATGAATTTATAAAATTGTTTAATAAATTATAAAAATTTAATAAAAACTAAATTAAAAATATTCAAGTTTATATAAACTTAAAACTTAGTTAGACATATATATATATATATATATATATATATATATATATTATCATTGATTTTTTAATTAATTATATGTATGTTGTTTTTCTTCTGTAAGATATGAACAAAATGAGAAAATAAATATAAACTAATTACAATTTTGAAAACGATGAATTGAATAATTGGCAAGTTTGGATTGAGTTGAATTTAGATTAAAATAGAATGTAAAAAAAAAATAAAACTTGAGTCGAATTTCGAAACAAATAACGTGAAATAAAGAAAAGCTGTGTTCAACTGGAGTCAGCTATGCTCATTTTTCATCTGTACATTGTCCAGCCATGAACGTAGAATATGGAAAGAATAATGGAGCCAATTTGCACCTTCTGGTGCAACAGTGTTTTATTCCATCCTTATATTTGTAGGTAACCCATTTCAGTTTTACCTAGTTATGATTGCTCATTCTTGCACCTGCCTTCACATGTTATGTCACTTTTTGGAGCTATAGAAGGAGAAGAGTAATAACATTTAGAACTTTTTCACACCCATGAACCAACTGTCATAGCAACTGACATTAAGTCATGGCACATATCAACAACATCAATTGACTAGTAATTACTAGCTGTCTTTTGTGTGGTGCTGCCATCAAAATCTTGTATCATAACAAACTGTCTCAATCAAATTGTGTGCAATTGAAAAGGGATTTTTCATGTAACTAAATTATATATTTTTAAATTAACTCAACTGCATTGAAGTTTCAATAAATTCAAACTGCACATCGTATTTTGTTGTAGACCGTATTCTCGTATTAAATAAGTTGTACTTTAGATTCGGAATAATTTAGTTCAAATTAAGATAACCATTAAACTCCTTTTTAAAAATAATTAAGTTTTTTTATGTATTTACATTTATTTTAGTTCAGATATTTAGTTGTTTTCATTGATTCTTCTTATGTATGATAGTCGTTGTAACGCCCCAGGCTTTCTAACTTTCATGAATATATAATATATTATAAAAGAATTAGAAAAAAAAGTTTTTCCATATAAAAAAATTATGACAAAAAAAAAGTAAGTAAATCATATTAGTTAAAAATACAAAATTTAAATAATTATGTATATTGAAGAGAATACGAAAAGATATCTTAGCACAAAAGTTAAGCAAAGATGAGTATTTTTTTTAAGAGGATGGTTTTTCAGCTGGATCATGTGAGACAATTAGGAATGTTAATCGGTTGGACACAAATTTACTTATAATTTGATTCGTAAAATGAAAATATGACTCGAAACTCGTCTGTTATTTGTATGGGTATTTGTTTAAAAAATATGTATAGGTATTTTAAAACTCATAAGTATTCGCAGATACTTGAAAAAATTTTAAAAAAATATTTTATATATTTTTAAAATAAAACTTAAATTAAATTATAAAAAATATATATAATATAATATAAATATAAATTAAATTTTAATTTTAATTAAATTTAATCTAATAAAATATAAATTAATTTTATGTTTAATTAAATTTAATTTAAAAAATATAAATTAATTTATTATTATTATTTTTTGTGCCCATTTGATCTATTTAAAAACGGATATTAAAATATTTGTTGTTCTTTACTGCATATAATAAATATCCACGTATAATAACTATTTATAGTAGATTTTATTCTCATATACTCATATTTATGAATATTTTTCTGATTCTAGAGACAATAGTTTTAGCTTTGTTAATCAACAAAATAAGTCAAAATTAAATATTGTTAAATAATAAAGTAAAACATGAATATGTTTTGTTTGTAAGATAATAAATTGTCAAATAAATATTTTATACTCACAAGTGTTTTTCTAAAAGAAGATATAACGTGTTATGTTATATATGACATAGTTAAGCTAATTCTGTACATAAGGAAATTCTTTATAAGCTTATTTTGCATAATAGAGAATGTTTTTGTATTTATGGTAATACACATCCTGACACATTTTATGTTAACTTTGGAAATGCTATCTATTAAGAATGACAAAATATTCGTATCTAGGGATATTTATAGATAAAATCTGTTAGAATAGTAAATTGATATTTTAAATGAGTATTTGCAAGTAGTGTTGTCAATGGATTATAATCCGTCGGATAACCCGACTTATTATGGATTTGAGTCGGATTAGATTTGAAAAAAGTATAATCTTTTTTATGCGAACTAGTTTTCAATTCGACTTCTTAAAACCTGGTTCACCGAGTTGAACCCGTGACGAGTCGGGTTGGCTCACCAACCTACCTAATTTAATTTAATTATTTATTATTTTGTGTTTCAAAATTATTAGTTAACATTTTTTATTATATTGTAGACAATGATAAAGAAGAAGATGTTTCAAGAGAGAAAAATATTATAGATTTATCTATTCAAGACCCTAATATTATAAATGGACAAATGATACAAAAATTATCAATATTAAAAACTTATTTGTTCGCCTTTTGTACATGTTTTTGGATTACTCTTGAATTGTATCTTTTTGGATTACGCTTGGATTGTATGATACTTTTTTTTATTTTGAATTGGAGTTTAACATCATTTTAATGTGACATTTATTTAGATTTGAATTAAAAGAATTATAATTTTTTATTTAAAAAAACTTATAATTAAATGAGTCACTGAGTCAACCCGTTTAACCTACCAACCCGTGGTGGGTTGAGTCGGGTTCGAATTTTGTCAGCTTGCTAATAAGTGAGTCGGGTTGGGTTGGTTCACTGAGTGACCAACCCGTGGTGGACCAGGTCGGGTCGAGCCGGGTTACCCGTTTTGACAGTTCTACTTGCATGTAATAGGTAAATTTGTATTTGTTTATTGAGTTATTTTCCCTACACCTCCTAATTTTGTTTTAGTTCAA